AATATAGACCCAAACACCTTAATAACTCCCATTTATTACCCATAACTTAGGATCTTCTCATGCAATAAATATATTACTGTTTTCTTTCTAAAGGAAGGGTTAATCTACTTGATACAGTGCTCTTATCATACATTAACCCCTGTGGTGTTTGTAGATATTGAAGAATGTCTCGCAAATGCATTTAGGGTGGCTATGGAGGTGGGTGAGGATTAAATGGCTTGGTTCAAACAGGGAGGGTTAATTTCATTGATACAGTGCTCTTTTGATAAATTAACCCATGTGTTGTTTGTTGATATTGAAGAATATTTCAAAAATGGATTTTGGGTGACATTGGAGGCGGATGAAGTTTGAGGGGTTCTGGTTCAAACAGTGTGGGTTAATCTCATTGATCAAGGTTCTTGAAAAAAGGATTTTATGCCATAGATTCAAAATCCCAAAGACCTAGCACATCGATACTCCAATAGTACTCTTATAAATGCATTCATTTTGATGTTGATGTTGTGAAATACATAGATCTTGTTGTATAAAGAAATATTTTCAACGGAGCACCCTTTTTGACTAATTGACCATCATGTAAACAGAGTTCAATCTTACAAAAAATATAAGATAAAAGTGAAGGAAATAGGACAGTAATAAAGTGTTAATTAATCCAGTAAATAAATCACTTGCTGATTAACTGAGTTGTGATGACAGATAAAAACAATCTGAATAGAGAGATATAATCTGAACATGTATCAACTCTACTCACTAATCTTTCTATTATATACACTTTCAAGGTTGCTGTATTTATTATAGATACATAGCCCCTTTTTATTATTGTTTATTTTTCCATTAAAATAATAAAAACAATTTTATCTTTTGTTACAATACAGAGAATGTCTTGCATAGTCACAAGTGGTAGGCCTTGTTGTAAATGTAGTGAAATCTCCATTTTTAATACATGATTTGCAAATGAAATAGAATTTCTTGATTAAAACGAATCAAAATGTTGTTGAACTTTTTGGTAATAAGCTGAAAGTACTCCTAATCTGCCTCAAAGAATTTTGCTTGACAATAATTTATCTGTATTTGGTGCCTGTTTTGGAGAGTCCACATAGCTATTGTAATGATGCTTCCAGGTATATTTAATGTAATTATGGTTCCAGTTATTTTAAATGAAACGTTGAAACAAAATTGATTTTCGTTTACATGAAGAAAACATTGATTAACCAATCCTCTTTCAATTAAAATTCTAAATGTAATTCTTCTGAATTTGAATGGGAGTGTCTCCATTTAGTTTTTCAAAGAAATAAAACTATGTAAGAAAAGAGAATTAATCTTGTTTAATCAATGAACATTGCCATTAACAAACTAATGGTAAATAGTCTCTTAAATTGAACACTAAGAAAGACAAATATCAATTTTAATGATTTATGTTTTAAGAGTGAATGGGACTCTTTAAAGTAATTGAAGCTCAACCTTGCCTTTGTCTTTTTCTTATGAAATGAATGATACTGATTGAAACTTAGATCATAGTCTAGTTCCCACCAGACAACTTATAATAAGAGTTTTAATGACCAAATAAAAGGGACTGCTACAAGGCTATCTATTATGACCTATCTCTTTAATAGTATGTAATAGAAGTTTTAAGTATAGGTTCTATAACAAGTGAACTATTATTGATGTAAGGTTAATATCAGTGATAAAGGGTTAAACTTCATGAATTGATCATAAGATTTCATACCCAGATTTTACCCTTTCTTCCTCGCTTATTTAACAGTTGTGTCTATTGAACCATATTTGATAATTCAAGGGGATAGATAATTGTAATCATTAATCAGTTAACCCCTTGCATTAGTTTAACTCAAAGATTAGCAATGAGCACTTTTCATAAGACAGTCACATGAGTCTGTATTACAACAATTTTTTAAAGAGTATAGGTGGCAAGAGAGGGCTGTATTGAAAGAGCCACCTGAAAACATTTTGGCCAGTAATTGTTAATTTTCAGGCATGATGAAAGAAACTATCTGGCAGATATCATCTGAAGACTTATGCATGTGATTAGACACTTTTCACCTCCTTTGCTTGGTTTTCAACTAAAAATGATTCTTATGTTTTATTTACATTTGGTGTACTCATTGTTCTAAAGATGGGCCATCTTTGAATGCGTTAGTCATGGTATGAACAATCTATGAAAGGACGTAGTTCAAAGATCAGCTGGTAGATAGAATCTTTTAAACAGAACTCACTTGAGATTTAATATCACCAGCAATGAAATGAGAAATTGAAAGCCAGAGTAGGCTAGTTTGTTAAATAGTCATAAGTGTTCCTTTCAATAACTTACTACTCCTCCAATAAGTTTATTTATTTCCAATAGCTGAATATACAAATATATTGACTTATTACTGTATTTATTCAGCTTATATTGATTCAGTTGACTTTATTCAACCAATATTATGTCTAATTATAGTTAAAAGATGACTTTTAAACAATACCAATAACTCAGACAAATGAATGAGCTTGAGCTTCACAGAATATTTTATTATACATTTTGACATAATATGTAGTTTCTGAAATCAGGTAATAAAAGGTCATCAATTTTTAGAAAGAAATGCTTGACCTTATATTACTCTGAAATCAACAATGTTATTTACTACTTGCAAATATGTTTGTATGGAGGAAATCGATTTGAAATAGTGATCAATAGGCTACTGTAAATTATATTCAATTGTCACCTTATCTCCATTTGAAGAAAAAAAAAACTCAATTATACTTAATTGAAGTATTGAAATATACATTGAAATCAACAAGTAAATAACAGTTATATGTTCTGTGCCTCTTAAGTCGAAAGTTAAATGGGTTTCATAGGTGATATTCATAATTTCTAAAAAGCTTTATTCTGTACTTGAAAATGACAAGAGTATCAATTACTGCTCATATTGTCTCTTTCCATGTCCTCTAAAAGCTAATAGAGAATACCAGATATTGTACTAGGTTCTATTCTATAGTTTAAACTTGGTAAATACCTTCTTCCGCTTGTTATTTAGCTCAACAATAGACACGTCAATATTCAGATTATAGAAATTGCTTTTAAATCTTCCATCTTAATCTTGATTCAGTTCAAATTGCCTTAAAGACAGTATTGACTTTGTTTTTAATCAAATAGATCATTGAATATAGACATGAAAATGGTGTCTGGCTTCTACAAACTTTCAAACCTGCATAGGCCCATACATTAGGCCTGTACTGAATTTGAAGATTTTGGTTAGGTTATTAACAGGTTATTTGCGATGCTTGACTCAAGCAGCTATAAGTGTATTTTTCTGACCACTGGACTCTTTGAAATCATATTCATTAAAAGAAAAGATCTAAATATCATGAATCTTGGTAGGCCAACAGTTGCCTATTTATATTGATATGTTTTAACTAAAGAGATTTTGGTGTACTTGTACTTGAAAGACAAGAAATGGCCAATTTGTCATTGTGACCAACTGACCATAGTCCACTGGCCTTATTTAATCCACATTCAACGTGTGATGGTCATAACCAATGTCAATATTATCTTGTTGATCTGACAGAGTCAGACAAACTTTCTCATCTTCTCAACAAGTTTTAACATCAACAAGTTGGAGGTACTTGGACCAGTGTCTTGTGCCTACATCAACAAACTTGGTATACTTGTATCATGCCTTACCCTGACACCATCAACAATTAAACATCTTCTAGCTGTATATCAAACCCCAGGTGTTAATAACTTCACACTACTAATAGACAATATTTGATAGGTAGTAAATAACCATTTTTATAAGATATACAGAGAAACATCATGACCAAGACCCATGAAATTTTCTCGTATTTGACAAAAAAATGTGTCAATTACCATTTGTATAATATTCAATAATACATATAAGATCTGAGAATTTCAATCAAGTGCCCGAAAGAACCTAGGAAGTTATAAGGAACTTTCTATTTACTGCTACAAAATACCCAAACTTTACAATCTACCTTACGCAGTAGATCTTCCAAAATATCACACAAACCATTGTCACATGGTGGCCTTTACAATCTATCCTTCACACTTGTTATATTGTGACATTTTTCAAGTATTTGCGCAGAAACTATTTTTGAATCTTGAGTAACAAACTAAAAACCCGTAAAAACATACAGCACATCTCTAGAATTCAGACAATCTACTTTCAACAAAGCATACACCTCAAAGGTTCACAAATTTCATCCCCTGCAAGGTTTTGCTGTGCTGCAGCCATATCCTGGTGCCTGAAGTAGATCCTCCAGGATATCACACAAGCTATTTTTATATAGTGGCCCTATAAAGTATCTGCTTAAAAACCATATTGGAATATTCTGGTACAACCACAAAGCCACCAAAGATACGCCCAGTGCATCCCTTATTGAATTGCATCCATAAACCAACAAAAGAAATACCCATGGCTCAAAGCAGACCTTCTAAGTTCACACAAGCCATTGTTAAATAGTGGTCTTTATCAAGTGCTTGCTCAAAAACTTGACCTTATTTCCTGCCATACTTTACGTGTTATTGTTGAAGAATGATCTTTCATATGTATTGTTTTATCTTCAATGTTGAATATTGATATTGTCCTCCTTCGAAACATCTTGAGAGATAGGGTGTATCTTACCACCTAGCTTGGCAATTCAAGTTCCTAGAATAAAGAGCACCAAAATAACTATTGTGTGACTGTTCAAGAGGGAGGCAGGGAGTTATCTGGAAATGTGGGTAAAATCTGCCCTGCATTCAATACAAGCAAAATTTCTTCTTAACGTTTCTACTGAACTATTAGTATGATATAAATAGGTTACTGAAGGGAAAGCAAACATTTTTTAGTAACAGTTTGATTAAAATGGGCAACTGAATATCATAACCATAATATCTGGATTGGGATTGTGTGTTTGAAACTTGTTGGCAGCATGATCTGAGTTGAATCATTGATAATGTATAATCCTATGCTTGAATTGCTATATACTTATAAATTGTATATTTTATATTACAGGCCTATTTAAGAGAAGGTATAGCTTTACAACAATTAGAACAACATGGAGAGTCTTTGGCAGCCTTTGCCTCTGGTTTGGCTCAGGAACCAACCAATGTTACACTACTGTCAGGACTGGCTGAGGCAGCACTTAAATCACCACTCAGAGGTTTGTATATTCTGTAAATATTTGGCTAGCTCTCTGCAACAGTATTTAATGGTATATATAACACACTATGAACAGATTCAAAAATAAAATGCAAACCAGAAAACTTTTTAATCTGTTCTATCTTTTGTAGGACGCCTTCAGTGTTATAATTTGATAAAATTTATACTAATATTTCTCATGAACCATGTTGTTGACCTTCCTATCAAACCATGATATCAGATTATATAATATTATTGAAACAATAGATGAGTGTCAAAAAACTGTACACCTGTAGCCTACCTCTAATTAAAACAAGGTATTTTTCTCACAAGCATACATCTGATTATAATATTACTAGTAGTATAAGTATATTTCTCAGGTGATTTGAGATGATTTTGCCTGCCATATCTTACTTCATGACATGTAATGGCTAACCTACACGTCTATATGTCCTATAGAGAATATTGAACGTCGATCATTGAGCAGCCCCGTGGGTCATGTCCGGCATATAGAGCCAAATCAACAATCCTGCTTCATGAGAAAGTATGATGTCCAGTGTGCTAGTATAGATACATTAAAACATGTAATAATAAATTGTATCTGCATCACTTGACACTTTTTTAATTGACACAATCACGATACAAAATTGTTTAGAGCAACTTAGGTCTGTTAGGCAGTATTTTTAAAGATAAAAGCTTATTTTATTTTCATTACAAAAATAGAATTTAGACACTACATCATCAGATTTGGAAAAGTTAATCCTAACGCACTAGTTTACAGTTTAATAGAAAAGTAGCTAGTTTGAAGTTTACATGTAAACGGAGCTAGTTTTATCAATCAAACAAAAGATTTTTTTAAATACAGAATTTGAATTCAAACATCAAAATACCTGATTTTAAATCTAAAAGCCTTATTTACATTGATAGACAATATAGCTAGTTGAAAGTTTACATGTAAACGAAGGTAGTTTTATCAATTAAACAATATAAATATCAGATAGAGTATAAGTCAGAATAATTTACATATATTACCTGTGTTAAGGTGTTTTTACCTACAATCATTGTGTTTGTTATTTTATAGTGCATTAACTTCCTCATGTTATAAACCTACACTCGGCTCCTACATGTCTCATTCTACACAAATTCTAATTCCGATGTTATTTGACCACCCACAACTTAAAAAAACATGGATACCAACAACCACCCATTGCCCACTCATTTAAATCTGGCTTTAAAGAAAGCTGACATCAGGTTAGCAAAGACAGATGCTCTTATGGCTTTTTTTTGGTGTGTTGGTCTAGCTTTAGTCACATCCTAATTGCAATGTTACTTGACTATCCTTAAGTCACAAAATGATGGACACTCAGGACTACTTAGTGCCAAAAGTAGCATAATACACCCTGTATGATTTACCATATTTCTTTTTCGTTTTGATATTCCAGATTTGAATTTTTTAAAAGCAATGCAATATGAGTAATGATGATATAAAGCTGAAGTCTGTTTAGCAATTTTAGAAATTAATCTGGCTGAAGAGAGAATAATTTAGAAATCAACCAATTTTTAACAATAACTCTTTGCCCCATTTATCCTTCCCCTTTGACCCCTTGACCCCTTGACCCCTTGATCAGATTGTCACTATATTAAGATGAGTAGTGTTCAAACGTAGGAAAAATTTGCTAACACCAGGATGTGAACGAGGTCAAAACACGTTCTCTAAACTAGGAGGTAGATTCTGTTGCTTTTCAACAATTTACTGTCATCAGGTACTTGGTGACAATTTTCTGTTGATTGTGTGCGAGACTGGTTTGAACTTTGACCCAATGTTTCGTACCTAACGTAACTTTGACATGGTAGTTGTTTAAATACTGAGAGTCTCCAGAAAGAAAGCTATAGATAAATAAATTATTGACTTGTTATTGACAACAGATAAAACAAAAAACACATAAAAGTTACATCTTTCTGTGCAAAAAAAACGGAAAAAAAAACCTTTGAACTAAAGATTCTAGACTAAAATTTTACATTATACAGGATTATTATATTTTACAAATTCAAAGATTATAGATATTTCAACACATTTTCTTTTTTTGATATTATAAATCCAAAGTTGTTACAATATTGTTGACAACCTAGGAAAGGCTTCACCTGAAGAAGGTGGTACATGAGAAGTCTTGTAAAGTTATGTACAATATCAGCAGTGAAATTAGACTGCTCTGTTGACTGTTTAAAATATTCATGACTGGTCAAGGCATTCACCTCTTACACAATAACATAGAAAAAAGATACTAATATTGTTACACAATAAATCAATATTGATTTGGATAATTTTTGATTGTATTTTCAGAACATTTGGCACCAACATTCCAGCAGTTGGAAAGATTACGGTTAAACCGAAGTCCTTTTGTAGTGATAGCCGTGATTGGTCAGGAACTATTATCTACTGGACATTATGCCCCTTCCACGTTGATGTTAGAATCAGCCTTAAAGATTGGAACATGTAGTTTAAAATTAAGAGGGTCTGTGTTCTCAGCATTGTCCAGTGGTTATTGGGGGTTAGGGAATCTGGAGAAGGCTATTCATTATATGCAACAAGATTTATCTGTAGCCAAATCATTAGGTAAGTGGTACAGAATTAATTATATGGCACTCATTATGCAAAATTCCTCTGGTATATTATGATGTCTATTCTTGCTTCAATGAAGTCTTATATGTCATAGCCTATTTGTTGTGGATAAATGAGAAATCCATGAGTATCAGAATCCAAAAGAAATTGGTTTATAAGTTAGCAGCAGAGTCTAAGCTAAGAGAATTATATCCTGTCTAGGCTTGATCTTGTCTAGAAATGAGAACAGTAAAAGATGCTCAGTGTTAGTATGGTAAATATCATACACGTCTATTGTATAGATAATATCATAAATTATATAACAATTTCCACAAATTCTTATACCATCAGCAGTATTGAATATCATCTATATTTCTTCCATGTTTCATTGTAGGCGATCAAGAGGGAGAGTGCAGAGCTTATGGAAATCTGGGTTCAGCATTCTTCTCAAAAGGAAATTACAAAGAGTCCTTGACCAATCATAGATACCAGCTAGTGTTAGCCATGAAACTAAAACAAAAACCAACAGCATCATCTGCATTAAGTAGTTTAGGACATGTATATACTGCTATAGGTGATTACCCCAATGCTCTGGCTAGCCATAAACAATGTGTCTTATTGTTAAAACAGGATAATAATAAACTATTAGAAGCTAGAGAAATCGGTAATGTGGGTGCTGTGTATTTAGCTATGGGAAACTTTGATAGTGCTGTAGAGTGTCATCAAGAACATCTTAAAATGGCTCGAAGTCTCAAAAACAGTGTAGAAGAGGCTCGAGCCTATAGTAATCTAGGAAGTGCTTATCATTATAAACGTGATTACAATCGTGCTATGGCCTTCCATAAACAAGTATTAAAAGTGGCCGAATCCAGAAAAGATCGGACTTTAGAAGCAAGAGCTTATGCTGGATTAGGTCATGCTGCTCGGTGCTCTACTGATTATGATACTGCCAAAGGATTCCATGAAAAACAATTAGACAATGCTCTCCAAACCTCAGACAAAGTGGCAGAAAGTCGTGCGTGTGCTAATTTAGGAGTGATATACCATCAGTTAGGAGAGTATGAAGCAGCATTAAAACTTCATAAAATGAATTTAAAAATTGCAAAATATCTTGGTGATAAGGCCAGCCAGGGTCGTGCCTTTGGTAATATCGGAAATGCTTATAGTGCTTTAGGACAATATGAAATGGCTATCAAATACCATAAACAGGAGTTAGGAATCTCATCTGAGGTGAATGACAGACATTCAGAAGGTTCGACACATGGGAATCTTGCGGTGGCATATCAAGCATTGTGTATATATGACAGTGCCTTACAGCATTATATGGCTCATCTTACCATTGCTCGTGAACTTAAAGATCTTTCCAGTGAAGCTAGAGCTGTGTGTAATCTAGGTAACTTCCATTGTGCTCGAAAGGACTTCTCTGAGGCCATCCAATACTATGAACAATATCTGAGTATATCTCAAGAACTTCAGGATGCAGACAGTGAAAGTAAAGCCTGCTTCCATCTTGGCTATGCTCACTTCTCCTTAGGTAATCATCTGGAAGCAATTAGATACTATGAACAAGATTTGGCTATAGCTCGAGAACGAAAGAACAGACTTTCTTTAGCCAGAGCCTACTGTAATCTTGGACTTGCCCATAAAGCTTTACATGACTTTACTGAAGCATTAGAGTGTCAGAAAAAGTGCTTAGGGTTAATGAATGCTCTTAAAAATGGACCTGGAAAATTCAAAGCATTGGGCAATATCGGTGACTTAATGCTCAAAACTGGAGATGCCGTGGAAGCCATTAAAATCTACAACCAACAATTACAGTTAGCTAAACAGTTGGAGAACCAGGAGCTCCTCGCCATTGCATACGGTTCTTTAGGTGTGGCCCATCGAAACATAGGACAAAATGATAAAGCCTTGGGTTTCCATACTCAAGAATTAAACACATATCAGGAACTTGAAAACCTAAAAGGGGAATGTCATGCTCATGGACATCTTGGTAATGTATACATGTCACTTGGTAAATACCTCAATGCTTATAAGTGCTACGGAGAACAATTAGAACGCAGTAGGGAACTACATAACAGTAATTTGGAAGCCCAGGCTTGTGCTAATCTGGGAATAACCAAAATGAATATGGGACAATTTGAAAATGCTATAGGTTTGTTTGAGGAACAGTTAGCTATGTTAGAACAAGCCTATGGTAATACGGCCATGCAGGAGAAGGGACAAGCATTCGGTAATCTAGGAGATTGTTACGAAGCTCTTGGAGATTATGAAGAAGCAATAAAATGTCATGAACAATTCTTAACCACAGCTCAGCAGTCCAACTCATTATCTGAACAAGACAGAGCATATAGAGGACTTGGCAATGCACATAGATCAATTGGTAACCTCCAACAAGCATTAGTGTGTTTTGAAAAACGTCTTGTGGTAGCTCATGAAGTGAACAGTAGTGGAGCAAAAGCCTCTGCCTACGGTGAATTGGGCTGTCTGCACAGTTTACTAGGAAACTATGAACAAGCCATATCGTGTCTAGAGCATCAACTGTCAATTGCCAGGGAAATGGGTGATGAACAATGTGAGAGTGATGCAGCTTGTGGACTAGGAGGTGTCTATCAACAGATGGGTGAATATGAAACAGCATTGAAATATCATAAACTAGATCTGGAGATAGCTGAACGAACCAACAACATGGCTTGTCAATGTAAGTTACTCTTCTTCTACATTTGACTCTCAGGGATGCTGTGGCTCAAAGCAAGATGCTTGCTAACCTGAGGGCCCTGGATTACTACTTTTCTACATATGTCACTTATTCCATAGTTTTTTATACAGACCCAGGCTTAGACAGACAGTTATTTTGTAAAAATTATAGTTTTACATTTTGAAAGCTCTATTGATAGTAGTTATCTTTAATCCATGAAATTATTATTTGAATTTCAGGTCGTTCGTATGGTAATCTTGGTCTATCGTATGAATCTTTAAATAATTTTGAACAATCTGTCAAATATCAAGAACAACATTTGAGTATCTCAGCCCAGATGAATGATAAAGTTGCTAAAACTCTGGCTTACAGCAGCCTGGGTAAGTAAACATATTGTTCAGAATCTATATTATGAGCTTATTAAGTTGACAAAAGCAAGGTTTTATATATCAAGTCATGAATTGAGGTGCTGTGTGTCATGGACATTGGATGAGAGACGACCCTTGACATCAACAAAGAGAGAGCTGGTCTGGCAAAGTTTCTTTTATTTCACAATGTATAGTTTTTTAATTTCTTTTACATCAGTGGTCTTGTATTTGCAGGGAGAGTACACCATGCTCTAGGCCATCATACAGAAGCTGTCCAATATTTACAGCAAGGATTACAGATAGCAGAACAGTTAAGTCGAAGAGAGGATGAAGCTAAGATAAGACATCGTCTAGGTCTAGCTCTGTGGGGTAAAGGAGATTTAAAGGAGTGTCAACTACAGCTGTATAAAGCAGCTGATCTGTTTGAAATGATACGAAGAGAATCTCAGTGTTCCAGTGATTATAAACTCTCTCTGTTTGATCTTCAGACGGCTTGTTATCAGGCTCTACAGGTTAGTCTTCCAGTCTTGATTATCAGAAGGGATATAATTGTCATCTAAATATTGCTTTTATCAGTTGATAGACATTGTTCTATCATGCTCTATAGGTTAGACTTAATGAATATTTTCATCTGAACTTACATTAAAGAGTTGATAAAGACAGGTAAGTCTTCTGGATTCTTAAATTTCAAAGTTTAATGGTTTCTAAAATAGATGATAAAATTGATTTTTGACCTATTTATCACTATTTTGGAAATTAAACGTCAAAACAATATCAGGTTTGTCTATAGAGAATTAAAAACAAACTTGTGTAACAAATGAAATAAAAGTTGTTCAAAGATACTATTAAGGCTGTGGATTTTTTTCTTTTGCCAATTTGACAATTTTAACAGTCTGAATTCAATTCCACTTAATTTGACATAAGTTTAAGTATTTTCAAGATATTCTTGAATCGTATTTTTGATTAATTAAAATAACTTTACTGGCACACTTATAGAGTCTTAAAAATCAGATTTATTGCTCTGGAACATCTGTCCAAGTGGAAGCACTCAGTATGTTATCTCTAAACATGTCTGTACAAGCTATACTCTCCTTAATATCAATAAATACAAGAATTTAGAGAGAGTTAAAGAGTGGACCCCCTGTAATTTATTGTCATCAACTTTTACATCAAGTACTTTTAATACAGCTCTTATCATCAACTTTATAATAATTTAGAATATCTCAGAAACAAATTGAGAAAATGACTGTAATGTTTGAAGTATTGTCAAGTATTATAATACCACTTAGAAAGATATTAAATCATTTATTTGGTGTTAAAAGGTCTTATTATAGAATATAAACTACTACAAGGGATATGTGAAGGAGTAATTTTGTCCTCTAATTTAAACATGTTTTATAAGTGTTATTGTTCTTGTGTTGACCTGCTTTTTCAAACTTTTGAATTGAATTAGTAAATTATCTTATTTTTGATAAATAAAAGGGAAATACTTCAGAATATTGATTTGAATATCTTTATAGTTCAAATTGAGTTTAGATAAAAAGGTTTATTTTTTCAAATGTATTTTGAAACCTGGTTTATTGTATATCAGTCAAAACTATATATATATATACATCACCATACCATGCATTTCAAAGTTGGAAATAAAAAATGAGTAGGCTGATGCTGTGATCTGGTAGAATTACCAGTACTCCTTGACTACCTTCATCAACCAAATTAGTCATAAAAACTCTATCTCTGTAAGCCTATTGCCTTAATCCTATGTCTCAAAACTGGAAAAGAAAAGGCTCATCCTCTTGCCCTAGCAAAATTATCTATGTACTGTTAGGCATTGTCTTCATGATTTTAAGCCGAAACAGAAAAATAGAATTTCTCAAAGTCCAACTTTTATTTCAGAGAGTATTAGTGGCACTGAACAGACATGATGAAGCTTTGGTGGTAGCTGAACGAGCTTGTACTAGAGCCTTTATAGATCTATTATTAGAACGACAAGCTGGTTCAGCAGGGTTGTTTAATGGAACTACAATGGATCTATCACCTATTACTATTGATCAGCTGACACGAAATGTAGCCAGTCAGCAGTCTCTAGTCTTATCATTCTCCATAGCTGCTGGATACCTCTATAGCTGGTTACTGACTCCAAACGATGGTGAGTAAAGAATCCTGTTTTCTAACTATGAATTGGTTCTGAAAGTTTGTCATCAAAGACCAGACGACTATTTCCATCATGTTTCTGGCTTTTTAGAGTTTCCAATTCTAAATTAAGTTTTATTATCAAGTCAAAGAACAGTCTTTCTAAAATCTTCCTTTTATCTTTTCAAGAATAAGGCTGTTGCCTGGTCTGGTGTTCACCATCTTGGAACACCAGATTCCATTATGCAATTGTTAATCAATAGGTTGTTTGTCCCTGCCTTGAGGTCTATGACATGTTTTACTGTTTTTTTGACTGGTGACTTGAATTTGACACATATTGTTGTTTAACCCTCTAGGTCTAGTAAAGTTTAATGAGTTGAATCTAAATGATATAGAATGTGATCTAGACCAGCAAGTAGGTAATAGTACCAATGATATACAGAGCATCATGAGCTTTAATAATGGTACTAACATCTTGGACCACTGTATCAGTCAGATCAGAGAAACTATGGGAGTTGACACCCATCTGTCTCACAGTTCTTCTCAAAGGTAAGTCTTGATATATCACAATTCCACATTGAACTCAATGATTAAATACCAATAAATAATTTGGCTTAAAATTCCCTGCAAAATCCTTCAGAATTAAGATTGTCACAAATCGTTTTTCATCTTATGATTTTGACCCAAAAACTTTTCTTTGCTTTTCCAAATGCTTCGTAATAATATTGTTATTATTGTGTATTGTAGGAGTTTAAGTATCTATCGTGGTGAAAATGTGGATGATTCAGGAAGTGATACAGAAGAGGTGTTCCAGGATAAATTGGAAGTTATTGGAGATCGTCTCAATGCGGAAAATGACCGGACAGGATTCCTGAGAATGGTGAATCGGAATTCCAACTTCAATAGTTCGAGCTACAGCTTAAGCAGCCTGTTCAGTTTATCCAGTAACTATCCAAGCAATCCCAATCGCAAAAATAGCACAAAGACCAAATCTTCCAAATCCCCCTTGACATTATTGTACCAGTATCTCTTTAGCTCTATGGAAGAAGCTATTACTGAGGTTACTGATGGTACAGTTGATCCCATAGACTTAGTGCTTGTTCTTCAGGGTGACCTATACCTCATTCCTTTCATGATGCTCCAAAAGGAAAATGAGGACTCTTTTTTCTTTGAAAAATTTAACTTAATTGTTGTGCCATCTATTAGTGCTTTACAAAATACGCAAAAAGTGGACAAATATGGCCGACCTGTGATAGACTCTTCTGGAGCTTTGGTGGTTGGGAATCCCAAACTCACACCCTCAGTTTGTCAGCATTGGCATCTAAAGGAAATCCCTGGAGCTGAGTATGAGGCAAGGATTGTGGGTGAGCTCTTATCATGTAGACCATTAATTGGACCAGAAGCCACTAAAGGAGCAATTCTCCATCAGCTCGAACAAGTGGAAGTGATTCATTTTGCAGCTCATATATCATGGAAGTTATCATCAGTTATTCTCTCCCCTGGTGAACTACCTTCCCAGCGTTTCTCGTCCATAGATTCAGACAGTCAATCGAGTGATATTAATAACATTGATGGGCCAGCGCTTTCAGAATATTTGCTAACTGCTGCAGATATTTTGAATCTGAAACTTCATGCTAAGCTGGTGGTGATCAACTCTGGATACACTGATGATAAAGCTGGACGTATCAACACTGATGGAGTTATTGGACTGACCAGAAGTCTGCTCTCAGCTGGAGCTCAATGTGTACTGTTCTCACTCTGGTCTGTACCTGATCAAGCCTCGAAGATTCTTATGACGAACCTACACAAGGGACTTCAAGAAGGACAGAGAGTGACTGAAGCCCTGTCCACAGCTGTGAAGATGGTTCAAGCAAATAAACAGTTCTCCCATCCATCTAACTGGGGTGGTTGGGTACTAGTTGGATCTGATATCAAGTTAAGCAGTAAAGTAGCTTTGATGGGCCATGCTATCTGTGAAATTCTACAGTCACCAACACAGTGTCGTGAAGCCATGAGAGTACTGCTTCACTTGGTAAGTTTTTTTTGAATAATTCCAGCTTATAATGTTCTGGAAGTATCGTGCCTGAAGACTCATATCAGTAGTCCGAGAGGCATGTATCTGTCTATCAGAAGTAAAAACCAATAACTCAACAGTTACCTAACCTCTGAAATATAAGCGATAATTAGAGATAGTATCTGATGAATTAAGTGGCTTGGCCTAAATGTTACTACTTAAATAAATACCCCACTGAAAAACTAACATCAAAGTATTTTATTTCAGATTGAAAAATCTCTACAAAGAATCCAACAAGGAACCAAAAACTCTATGTATACAACACTTCAAAGTATTGAGAATAAAGTTGCTAATGTTAATGGATGGAAAGATTTACTGTTGTCTGTAGGATTTCGATTTGAACCAACAGGGAGTGGGTTTCCACCAGCTGTTTTCTTCCCTCAATCTGATCCTACTGATAGACTGACTCAAGCTAGTTCTAGTCTTCAAGCTCTTTTAGGTAAATACCCCTAGTTTGATTTAATAACTATGGATCTGAGGTTTCTATGGAGAACTTTACCATGACAGTGTTCAGTATCTGTACAATTATCTGAGCCCAAGTCTACAGTTCCTTTTTGATCCAACTTAGTTGTTGTTTACCTCAAATGGTACAAATGCATCCTTGATTTTTAACTTCGTTTGGAATGTTTAGTAGACCCTTGTGCATATTTAATGAGCATATTTTATTCTCTAGGTTTACCACCCAGTTCAGTAACAGCTCTATCTAAGTTTGTTACAAGTTATGATGTTGGTGTAGCTCTGATCACAGTGGTGAGTTTATATTTACTATCACACAGTCAAAACAATTCAGCAAAGAAATACGAAAATGACAAATAAATCAAAGGATCATCAGGTACAAATAAACCAAAAATATCAAAGCAAGCGAGCAGTTTTTGTTCAAATTTCTTCTAATCAATTGGGCTTTACTTGACTATTTTATTTCCAGATGCGGGAAATACTAAGTAAACTGTTAGCTAAAGAAAATGGTATAGATGTGATGGTCAATGTTAAACTATGGAGGGTCACAGGGTGCCATGAGTTCCTGGCATCTCTTGGACTAGATCTGGTGGAAGTTGGACAAGATAATGTTACTCTCCGATTGAGCAAACAGGCTGTTAGACGACATTTACAGTTTGCTCTTCAATCTTTAGTAGCTCTATTTGGTAAGTTTTATCTACATATATCCCAGAGTAGCCTGCACAAATTTCTTCACAGCTTTACTTATTAGCTCAACTAAGACCAAAACATGATGTAAAACTCTGAAATGATAAAGAATTCAGATAAGGTGCAAAGCAGTATAATAATACAGTGTTTCCTAGCTTTTATTGACCAATAATAATGCATGAAAAGAACAACTATGACGATTCTTTGATGTCTGTGCAACATCGCATAAATTTCCTTCCTTTCATTGTTTCAACAATCCCACCACCAAAACATCCAATGATTTTTCTCTTCAGAAACCCAAGAAGCACCCAAGTTACTGACATTACAGAGTTCTAGCAGTCTGGAGAGTCTATCGTCTTCTCACAGTAGCTCTGTATCTTATAACAGTACCCCACCACCTCTATCACCTAAAGGAAGAGGTTCCATGTTTAATCCTGCTGAAATGGAGAAAATTAGATCCAATAAAACTAGTCTAATGAGTCAGGTATGTGATTTGTTTTTAAAGGAATTCTAGGCATCAATCAAACAGCAGTACAGCATACAAAAAGTCACCTTCAAAACTTAACCTATTATACCTTTCTCTTCCATTTTAAATTCTGTCTTCACCTACTATTTTTGGAACATGTTGAATGCATTCTATATTATTGATCTTCTGGTTGATTCAATCTTTCAATCAATCGTCACCATTTATTACTACTATGCGTGATTTCTGTGATTATTGAAGGGAGACAATTATATTTACGAAACTTATAACAACTTGCGGACTACTTTCTGAAATATGTCCAGAGTTAACTGACAACAGCGCCTTCTTGGGAAAAAAAATAACACTGTATACTCATTCAATCTGTAAATCAAAGGGAAAAAGACTGGCAACAGAGCTAACATGAAGGAAAGTGTTTGTCATCTGATTATAGAAAATAAGATGTCTTGAGAGACTGTTAGCACCGCCTCTGCCTAATCCAAGTGTAAAATATATATAATAATCTTTTCATTGTTTGTCTCTTTACAGGGTCCATTAGTGGGAAAGAAAGGAACATCCAAATATGGGAAACCAACCCAATACGATCCTGCTATATATCTATCCCATCAAAATAAAATACGGAATATGTACCCAACTAGTAGTGATACAGACAGCCCAGTGTTTACCTCGGAAGAGTGTTCCATCATGAGTTCCCCTAGTCAAGAAGAAATGGAATCCGGAAAGGAAACACCTCAGCCAAACGTAAGAAATATGGCCTCCATGTTTGACACTAAAAAGTCCTCTGTGTCTAACGAGTCTCAAGTTTCTCGAAATAAACTGAAAGAAGTGAACAGTCGAGCTTTGTGTGAAAGTTTGACCTCAGATATGCAATCTTTGTCAGGTTCTACTGGATCAAATAATTCAACTCCATCCAGTAACGCTTCTATAGATCATTCGGAACTAGCCAAACGTATTCTGGCTGATGTCAGCTCTCAACATAAAGCTGTGCAAGCGATGCAAAGGGTCAACATGGCTAAATCTCAGGAAAATAGCAGACGTATTCGCGAAGGTGTGGCAGAAGTGTCTGAGGACAATAAATCTGTGAAATTTGAACAAGACTCGACCAGGTCAGTGTCTCCAGTCCAATATCATACTATTTATAAAGACAGTGATCTAGGTTTAGACGAGGATCCTCCTAAAAATTCTTTTGATCGGAATAAACGACGTAGTATCCTTCCCAGGGATCAGTATTCATCCATTGAGCGTTTTGGTAACAAGAACAATACTCATGATAACGTGCGGACTAGATCTAGTGTTGATACAAGTAGTGTAAAAAGTTGCAATAGTGATAACAAAAGTGATGTAACTTCAGTTCACAGTTATCAGGATTATACTGATAACGTGACACAATATGGTGATGCGCAACAACAATCTAATGGTGATGATGATGAATATGCAGAACTGTGTCGTGCTCAAGGTGCCAAATTTCAGACTCAATTTACTTCCAGGAAACCTCAAACATTCCAAAGCAATAATCTGGGAACTAACATTGTTAACGATTTACCAACTTCGCGACATTCCGCTGATTTTTTATGCCAGCCCCCTCCTTTTACATCTAACCCTACATTTCAAACATTCCAATCGAAATCATTGTCACATCTTGGAAGTTTAACTTCTGGACATGTTGGTGCTCAAAGTGGGGAGAATAGCATCTCCTCTGAAAACAGTGAGGGGACAGACAGTAATCCTCAATCATCAGTTTCTAGTGGTTACCATTCCGAGAAAACTGAAAAGACAAATCGGGATTCATTTACCAAACAGTTTGTGAGCAACTCTCCTGCTAATTCTGTGTCTTCGTTACCGCCCTTCCGCCCATACAACAACCCCGTGACACCTGTTACTCCCTTCATTAAGACTAATGCCTTACAAACTCGTCCAGAATCAACTGCTTCAACTGGTAGTCAATATTCGTCTGCCTCATCCAATAGATCTGTCATATACCGTCCAAACTCCAACACAACCTTGAGCTCACGATCTTCCAGTTCCATCTTGCGTCCTTTAAGCAATCAGATCAACAACATTCCAACCTTTGATCCTTCCAAAAACAAGAAGAAGGTCAGTTTCTCAGATTCTGATCGGGAAGCTTCCTTTGATCTTGATGGTGATGTATCTCCCAATATGAACAATATGAACAGCCTTCAAGCTGATAATGGGTATGAATATTTGAGTCTTCAACGATCTTATGGTCAAAGACTGGCACCAGACACTCAAAATGTGATGAAAGACAATAGACAAAGGTTTGAAAGGTATTCACCCAATAACAATGAGGTCGGTGCATCAAGATCAAAAGAAAATGGCCATATATCCGGGTCACCTTTACGACAACTAAACTCTAATAAATCTCCAGTACAGCTTCGTTCTGTAAATACAGATAAAGACAAAAAGTCTATCAGTAAAAGCAAACTACTTCAAGCATCCAAATGTTAAATATCTGTTGGCAAATTTAAGTGTTACCTGTGATTAGTGTCTTTAGATGAAACAAAAATGAATTGCACCCCTAGAAACAAAACGACCAATTCCCATACTGCAACGAAATACCATTGTCCCCTGCCAACAATCTGGCTACGGGCCTGTTTAGATGTTCAATTAAGTTTTAGTGCTGGTTTTAATTCATCATGTCCCTCCTACCAAGTGAATATTCTCTATTGGTTAATATGACCAGAAATTGTTCAGATGAGAAAAATATCTTGAAGGTACCCGTCTGGTTAAAATAATATAATTGATTTTGTGAATTTTGACACATATTTTTCGGGCCAAAACATAGTAAAATGATATTCTTAAATTTGTTATAATTTTGTGGGGGTAATTGCGGCTGCAAACCACTGTTCTAGGGCCCCCCATGTACCTTCACTCGCGTCGCCACTGTATGTGCACGATATGTTTGCATCTGTTGTCTTTGTATGCTATGCCTACAATGATGGACAGTATTTGCGTTACTATATTTAATATCAACAATAGCTTATGGATGTCAGCTTGTCTTGATTTGTTCTTCATTTTAAATCTTCACGAACTGTCAAATGGCTTTAAGGCTTATTTATATTTTATATTAAAGACATATTTAAATGAATTATCGTATGTAACTTTAACACCATGTGTTCAAATAGCAGTGTATAAAACATTGTATAATTATTGTATATTCTGTATATTGTATAACATATATGTATACTGTATAAATATTATGTATTTATGTATAGTTTATAATATACAATCTAATATTGAAGTGGATTAAATAATGAATATATTTCTTATGTCTTTATCTTTCATAAATATTTGCTGGTACTCTGTTTTCTCACATAGTAGGCTCTAAAAAATGACCACAAATATCTTCATGCCAGTAGTGAAGATCATAGATTTGACAGTGAAATAAACTAGCCACATTTAAACCACAAACGAACATATACAAAATATATTCATTTATCAAATTTAGACCTCTACAGAAAAGGGTATATTTTATATAAAGTGGCGTTAATGACAATTAATAAAAGACTTTCACGACAAAAGTTCTGCTTGCGATCGGCACCAGACGGAAACTGCCGAATGATATCTAGGATATCCATGGAACGTTTTAAACAAATTGGGTCTGATTGTGTTTCAAAAAATTAGGTTAATCCCCTTAATTGATATCTCAAAGCTTATACCAAAACCGTGAATGCACTGTAGTATAATCAGTCTCCGATCTTTCGACTGTAATATTTTGAAATCGCAGACTGCGCTATAAGAATATGTATTTCGACATACAGTGAAATTGTTTTCACAACATCTATCTGTAAGGACAACAACCGAGTTGCTTCCCTTGAAGTATAGGGGGACAGAACTGTGGCATTTTTATTCTTCAAACCCAACTTCCACGAACCAGGGGTTCGTTTAGATATTTATTAGAGGGCAACATCCAAGTCAAAATCAATATGACTCTGTACCCGATACTCTTTTTTGTTGCGTGATAATCTTGTCGAGAACAATCCCTATAACAATTTAGGCAATTCACTTCTATTTAGTTCATTAACCAAAAAATCAACAAAAGTAGAAATCGATAACAAAAAACAGCTAGATAATGTCAGATCATTAATATCAATTGTTTTTTGTCTACGATTTGCTTCCGCTTTTAAAGTCAATTTTATTTCACATATATCTACACTTTAAAACTATCTAAATAGTGAAGCCCAGCGAGCACCCCAGTATTGTATGATGTTGAAATGACGATGATAAAAAACAGCATGATCATCAGTGATTAAATCTTGTCGGACTTTAGTCAATGTCTTCGTCAATACTTCTTTCCAGCGTTGGTTTATATACTATTAAATAGGGTTGAGCTTTTTTTTGTAATCGTTAACATACAATAGAATTCAGGGCTGTAACTACATCAAGGCAAAGCCTCCTGTCGAATTAGACAAAAACAATAAGCAAAAAGCGATTTGTTAAAAAACATTAATATGATATCCGCTACATATATCTCTTATTTGATGTCCAAAGTAAAGCTGGTTACCGTTTGAAGTCTATCGCAATCGTTGTAATGAAAAACATAGCCGACTACAAAGACAATAGGATTTTTGCATCATAGAAAAGAGACCCTGATTACGGCCCTGGAATTCCTAGATTTATTTTAATATACTTATCGAGATTCTTATCCGAAACTTGCTAACTCCTACCTACCATCTGATAAATATTAACATCCTCACTCTATTACATTGAAATTAAAATATGAGACACGAATACAGGCAGTCCGAAACCGGCTGACTATGATCTGGTCTCTGATGGTTTCCTACAAGGTAACGGCAAGGCAGAACTAAGTGTTTTTTTTTTTACTTATTTGAGAGTTTATATATCTTTAGAGAACCAAACATCAAACACGATTATATTATTTTTACCTTCGATGTCTTATGGGAGCTAGAATTATACAATAAAATAGGGTCAGAAAGTGTCGGACTATTAGAACGCGTGTATTAGTTCTTCTTTCGTCAATTTTTGATACAAATCATAACGTCAGACTCGATTCC